CCCCCTCCTCCTCCTCCCCCTCCTCTCCCCTCCTCCCCCTCCTCCCCTCCTTTTCCTCCCTCCTCCTCCCCCTCCTTTTCCCCCCTCCTCCTCCCCCCCTCCTCCCCCCTCCTCCTCCTCCCCCTCCTCCTCCTCCCTCCTCCTCCATCCTCCTCCCCCCCTCCTCCTCCCTCCCCTCAATCCTCCTCCTCCCCCTTCCCCCTCCTCCCCCTCCTTCCCCCTCCCCTCCTCCCTCCTCCTCCTCCCTTCTCCTCCCCTCCTTTTTCCCCCTTTTCCTCCCTCCTCCTCCTCCCCCCCTCCCTCCTCCTCCTCCCTCCCCCCTCCTCCCTCCTCCTCCCCTCCTCCTCCCTCCCCCCTCCCTCCTCCCCCTTCCTTCTCCCTCCCCTCAATCCTCTCCTCCTCCCCCCTCTTTCCCCCTTCCTCCCCCTCCTCCTCTCTCCTCCTCTCTCCCCCCCCCCCTCCTCCCTCCTCCCCTCCTCCTCCCTCCTCCTCCCTCCTCCCCTCCCTTTTCCTCTCTCCTCCTCCCCCCTCCTCCTCCCTCCTCCCTCCTCCTCCCTCCTCCTCCTCTCCTCCTCCTCTTCCCTCCCCTTCCTCCTCCTCCTCCTCCTCCCTCCTCCTCCCTCCTCCTCCCCCCCCTCCTCCTCCCTCCCTCCTCCCCCCCCCCTCCTCCCTCCTCCTCCTCCTCCTCTCCTCTTCCTCCTCCTTTCCTCTCCCTCCTCCTCCCCCATCTCATTCTCCTCCTCCTCCTCCTCATTCCTCATTCTCCTCCTCCTCTTTCTCCTCCCCTCTTCCCCCTTCCCCTCCTCCCCCTTCCTCCTCCTCCCCTCCTCCCCTTTCCCCCTCCTCTCCCCCCCTCCTCCCTCATTCCTCTCCTCCCCCTCCCATCCCTCCTCCTCCTCCTCCTCCCTTCTCCACCTCCTCCTCCCTTCTCCCTCCTCCCTACTCCTCCCTCCTCCTCCCCTCCTCCTCCCTCCTGCTCACTCCTTCCTCCCCTCCTCCTCCCCTTTCCCCCTCCTCCCCCCTCCTCACTCCCTCTCTACTCCTCCCTCCTCCCCTCCCTCCTCCTCCTTCCTCCTCCTCCCCTCCTCCTCCCTCCATCCCCCCTCCTCCTCCCCCTCCTCCTCCCCCTCCTCCTCCCCCTCCTCTCCCCCTCCCCCTCCCCCTCCTCCCCCTCCTCCTCCCCCCCCCTCCCCCCCTCCCCTTCTCCCTCCTCCTCCCCCTCCCTCCTTCCTCCTCCCCCCCTTTTCCTCCCTCCTCCTCCCTCCCTCCTCCCCCCTCCCCCCTCCTCTTCCTCCCTCCTCCCTCTTCCTCCTCCTCCTCCTCCTTCACTCATTCTCATTCTCCTCCTTTCTCCCTCCTCCCTCCTTCAGCTCATTCTCATTCTCCTCCTTCTCCTCCTCCTCTTTTTCCCCATTCTCATTCCCCCTCTTCCTCCCCTCCTCCTCCTCCTCCCTCCTCCTCCTCCTCCCTCCTCCTTCACCATTCTCATTCTCCTCCCTTCCCCCTCCTCCTCCTCTTCCTCCTCCTCTTCCTCCTCTTCCTCCCCTCTTCCTTTTCCTTCCTCTTGTTCCTCTTCCTCTTTCCTCTTCCTCTTCCCCTGCTCTCCTCCTCCTCTTCCCTTTTCCCCATTCTCCTTGTCCCTTTTCTCCTCCTCTTCCTCCCCCCCCTCCCCTCCTCCTCCTCCTCCCTCCTCCTCCTCCTCCCTCCTCCTCCTCCTCCCTCCTCCTCCTCCCTCCCCCTCTCCTCCTCCTCCCTCCTCCTCCTCCCCTCCTCCTCCTCCTCCTCCCTCCCCTCCTCCTCCTCCTCCCTCCTCCTCCTCCCTCTCCTCCTCCTCCTCCCTCCCCTCCTCCTCCTCCCTCCTCCTCCTCCCCCCTCCTCCTCCTCCCCCCTCCTCCTCCTCCTCCTCCTCCTCCCTCCCCTCCCTCACCCCCTCCTCCTCCCTGCTCCTCCCTCCTCCTCCTTCCTCCTCCTCCCTCCTCCTCTCTTTCCCCTCCTCTCCTCCTCCCTCCCTCCTCGTCCCCCCTTTCCCTCCTCCTCTTCCTCCTTCCCCCTCTTTCCCCTTCCTCCTTTTCCTCCTCTTCCTCCTCTCCCTCCCCCCTCCTCCCTCCTCCCTCCCCCTCAAACCTCCTCCTCCTCCCTCCTCCTCCTCCTCTTCCTCCTCCCCCCTCCCTTTCCTCCTGCTCCTCCTCCTACTCTTCCTCCTCTTTGTCCTTCCTCTTCCTCATCATCCCCCCTTCTTCCTCTTTCTCCTCCTCCTCTCCTCCTCCTCCCCCCCCGTCTCTCCTCCTCCCTCTCCTCCTCCTTCCCCCCCTCCTCCTCCCCCTCCTCCTCTTGCTCCTCTTCCTCCCTTCCTTTTCTTCTCATTCTCCTTTTCCTCTTTCTCCTACTCTTTCCTCCCCTCCCTCCCTCCTCCCTCCCTCCTCCTCCCTCTTTCCTCCTCCCTCGTCCCCCCTCCCTCCTCCTCCCTCCCTCCCTCCTCCCTCCATCCTCCTCCCTCCCTCCTCCTCCCCCCTTCCTCTTCCCCTCCTCCCCCCCTTTCCCTTTTCCTCCTCCTTCCCCCCTCCTGCTCCTCCCTCCTCCTCCCCCTCCTCCTCCTCCTCCTCTTCCTCCTCCTCCTCCCCCTTCTCCTCCCTCCCTCCTCCCTCCCTCCCTCCCTCCCTCCCTCCTCTCCTCTCCCTCCCCTCTCCCTCCCTCCTCCCTCCCTCCTCCCTCCCTCCTCCTCCCTCCTCCTCCCTCCTCCTCCTCCTCCTCCTCCTCTTTCTCCTGTTCCTTCTCTTCCTCTTCCTCCTCTTTCCTCTCTCCTCCCTCCTCCCCCCCTCCTTCCTCTCTCCTCCTCCCTCCTTCTCCCCTCCTCCTCCTCTTCCTCTTCTCGTCCCTCCTCCTCCCCTCCTTCCTCTCTCCTCCTCCCTCCTCCTCCTCCTCCTCCTCCTCCTCCTCTTCCTTTTCCTCCTCTTCCTCTTCCTTTCCCTCGTCCCTCCTCCTGCCTCCTCTCTCCTCCTCCCTCCCTTTTCCTCCCTCCTCCTCTCCATATTCCTCCTATTCCTCCCTCCTCCTCCTCTCTTCCTCCTCCTCTTCCCTCTCATTTTTATTCTCCTCTTCCTCCTTGTCATTCTCATTCTCCTCATTTTCCTCCTCCTCTTCCTCCTTTTCCTCCCTCTTCCTCCTCCTACCTTTTCCTCCTCCCTCTTCTCTCCTCCTCCCTCTTCTTTCCTCCTCCTCCTCCCTCTTCTTCCTCCTCCTCCTCCCTCCTCCTCTTCTTCCTCCCTCCTCCTCTTCCTCCTCCTCCCCTCTTCCCTCCTCCTCCTCCTGCTTCTCCTCCTTCTTCCTACATCATCCTCCTCCATCCTCCCTTCTCCTCCTCCTCCTCCCTCCTCCTCCCTCCTCCTCCCTCCTCCTCCCTCCTCCTCACTCTCCTCCCTGCTCCTCCTCCTCCTTTTCTTCTCCCTCCTCTTTTCCTCCTCCTCCTCCATCCTCCTCCCTCCCCCCTCCCTCCCTCCCTCCCTCCCTCCCTCCCTCCCTCTCTCTCTCCCTCCCTCCCTCCCTCTCTCCTCCCCCCTCCCCTCCCTCCCTTCCCTCCTCCCTCCCTCCCTCCCTCCCTCCCTCCCTCCTCCTCCTCCTGCTCCCTCCTCCTCCTCCTCCTCCTCCTCTCTCCTCTCTCCTCCTTCTCCTCCTCTCCTCCTCTCCTCCTCCTCCTCCTCCTCATACCTCTCCTCCTCCTCCTTTTCCTCCCTCTCCTCTTCCTCCTCCTCCTCTCCTCCTCCTTTTCCCTCCTCTTCCTCCTCCTCCTCCTTTTCCTCCTCCCTTCCTCCTTTTTCTGCTCTTCTCTTCCTCCTCCTCCTCCTCCTCCTCCTTCTTCTTCTCCTTTTTTCTTCCTCCTCTTCCTCCTCCTTTTCCCCTCCTCCTTTCCTCTTCCTCTTCTTCCTTCCTCCTCCTCTTTCCCTCCTCCCTACTCCTCCCTCCTCCTCCTCCTCCCTCCCCCTTCCTCCTCCTCCTCCCCCTCCTCCTCTCCCTCCCTCCTCCCCCCTCCTCCCTCCTCCTCCCTCCTCCTCCTCCTCCCTCCTCCTCCCCTCCTCCTCCTCCTCCTCCCCTCCTCCTCCCTCCTCCCCTCCTCCTCCTCCTCCTCCTCCTCCTCCTCCTCCTCCTCCTCCTCCTCCATCCTCTCCTCCTCCTCCTCCTCCTCTCCTCCTCCTACCTCCTTCTCCTCATCCTTCTTCCTCTTCTCCCCCCCCCTCCTTCTTCTTCCTCTTCCTCCTCCTCTCCTTCTCCCTCCTCCTTCCTCTTCCTCCTCCTCCTCCTCCTGCTCCTCCCTCCTCCTCCCCCCTCCTCCTCCTCCTCCTCCTCCTTTCCTCCTTCCTATCCTCCTCCCTCCTCCTCCTTCTCCCCTCCTCCTTTTCCCTCCTCCTCCTTTTCCCTCCTCCTCCTCCCTCCTCTTCCTCCTCCTTCCTCTTCCTCCTCCTCTCCTCCTTCTCCTCCTTCTCCTCCAAAACATTACTGGGACATATAAATACTTTGTATATATTCCAAGACAATAGTAAATGTCCACCTGTCAGTGTGTTTGTGACAATTTGAGTACAATTTCAGTACCTAATTCTAGTTTCAGAACGAAGATTGTTTATAAAATGACAAGAACTGCTATAAATTGTAATTATCAGAACATAAAAATTACATAAAATAATATGAAAAATAGAAAAAAAAGGTATATTGGCAAAACTTCTGCAAGCGGCAGGACTCCATGTTGCTGTCACTTGAGCATCCAGTGCCAGCTTCTCGGCCTCATACCTTTGTAAGTACTGACCCTAATTTTTTGTTTTTTCTAAAACACTTAAAATAATTTTCTTTTTCTATGAAAAAACTATTTTTTTTTTTTCAGAATATTCGGGGCTGCGCGAGTGAACGTATACATACGTTTGGACCATTTAAGGGTTAAATAGTTGAGCAATCATGAAACACAATTTACAATATTAAGCATTACAATTTAACTATGATTATTTTTGTTTCAGGTCCCAGTGGAAACCCATTATTTGTGTTAGTTGGTGAGGGACATTGTGAAAGTCTCCAAGTTTATGTCAACACAGCAGTCACATACTTTAACAGCTCTGGGTAAGTTGAAGGAGGTAGTCTGACTTTCATATATATTACAGTAGGGCCCCCCTTATGTGGCAGGTTAGGTTCCAGGCTACTGACAGAAAACAGACATCGGTAAGCTGAATGCCATTTTTTCCACTTATAAATGCATATAAATGCTAGCTAACAAGCTTACACTAATATATATTAAGTTAACAATAGAACTAGGCATTAAAAGCAATAAAAAGTAAAATACACATACAGTACACCCATTACTTACCTTAAAATATTTGTAGTCTTAATGTAGGGTGAGAGGTGAGTTTTATTTGTAGGAAGTCAGGTTTGGGAGGTATGATAGGCAGCCAGGTCAGCCCACCCCACCCACACATAATATACTACAACATTTAATTAAAGCACCCCAGAGCAATAAAATACATATACAGTGCACCCTTGGGTAACAGCGGCTTTGGCTAATGCCAAAATCGGCTAACGGCTCGCTTTGGCATAAAAATATTAGCTCAGCTAATGCCAAATAACTTGGGTAAGGGCTTTCATCCCGAACGTGTCCGCATGGCGTGAGCGGGCCTGGTCACTCCATGACTCCGTGTACAGTCAGTGTGCCATTGTTTACAAGCCAGGGAGGACGATTCCACGCATACAAGCGATATATGTCATATTATTCCATTTTTTTAGTGCTTGTAACTGCTAAATAAGCCACCACGGGCCCAAAGAAAGCTTCTAGTACAACCCTGTGATAAAGAAGGAAAGAAACACAATAAGATTCAAGAAAAAACTCATATCAAAGTACCAAAGTAGAGGAGGAAGAGAGAGGGGAGAATGTGCCTTCTGCAGTGATTCAGTGATTCTACAATATGTATGATACTAAAGCAGCAGGTATCGATAAAGGCTATAGTGCCAGCCAGCGATAAAGTGTAGAATTAACAGTGTAGCAAGTAAGTTAAGCGAGTAAGCGAGAGAAAAACGACACGAAAGTAACTCTCCAATGTTGTTGAATGTGTGTAGGGCCGCTGAACATAACACCGCCCTGCTATCTTCCACCACCCTAAACCTCTGCCAGCATCTCCATCAAACTAACTAATTAAACTAACATCTCCTCCAAGGTAAGTGTAAATATAATAGTGTAAGTATAAAAGTAAATACAAGTGTAAATATAAAAGGACCCCAATGAAAATAATCTATGTACATAACTGTGTGTATACACACCTGAATAAACTTACTTATAAATTAAAATATAAATATTTCTTATTTATAAATTACATATGTACATTGTTTAGGTGCGATAGTGGCGGTGGGTTCTTCTGGTGCCTCCACCACCATGTATGGCTTCTCTCAGTGGCCCTTATAAACACAACAACAACACTTACACCATTTACTCCTCTGAAACATTATGACATATTTTATTCATTTTAGAGTATATATCATGTTTCTATGTTATTAATATTGTTTATAATGTCATATTAGATGAATTGTGATAGATAAATAAGTCGTAGAGATGATGATAGTGTCATATTGAAGCATAATAAACTTGCCTTTCTCTTGCCTCCTGTGTGTCTACCATACACCAACAAGTCAAGTCAATAAAGGTAAGTGTGATCTTAAATGTTCATTTATCCATTTTATTAGTGCTTTGTATTTATTTGTCATTGTTTTCTGTATGTATATTTATATTTAATCTTTAAAAAAAATATTTTTTGTTAACACTTTTGGCTAACTGAAACGGATTAATTGGATTTCCATTATTTCTTATGGGGAAAATTAATTTGGCTAGAGGCTAAATCGGCTAAAGGCTAGCTCTCTGGAACGGATTAAAGGCGTTACTCGAGGGTCCACTGTACAGTACATTCATTAATTACCTTAAAATATTTGTAGTATTAATGTAGGGTGAGAGGTGAGTTTTATTTGTAGAAAGTCAGGTTTGGGAAGTATGGTAGCCAGCCAGGTCAGCCCACCCCACCCACACATAATATACTATGACATTTAATTAAATTGCCCCAGAGTGATAAAATACATATACAGTGGAACTCCAGTTTTCGTACAGTCCGAATATCATACAATTTGGATTTAGAACACTTTTGGGTGAAATTTTGGTCCGGATTTCATACCTCCACCTGGAAATCGTATGTATCAGGCATGTCTGCCCGTCCGGGACACCACCACTCATGCATACGTGTCTCACTCTGCCTGTCATTCGTCGAGTGAGCATTACTTAGCGTAACTATTGAATGCGTCTGCGAAATAAGCCATCATGGTAGTGATGGTGTAGAGGGTGGTAGTGATGATGGTAGAGGGTCATAATGATGGTGGTAGAGGGTGGTAGTGGTTTGTGATGATGGTAGAGGGTGGTAGTGATGGTGGTAGAGGGTGGCTGTGGTTGTGATGGTGGTAGAGAGTGGTAGTGATTGTGGTAGAGGAGGGTAGTGATGGTGGTAGAGGGTGGTAGTGATGGTGGTAGAGGGTAGTAGTGATGATGGTAGAGGGTGGTAGTGATGGTGGTAGAGGGTGGTAGTGATGGTGGTAGAGGGCGGTATGATAGTGGTAGAGGATGGTAGTGGTGGTAGAAGGTGGTAGTGATGGTGGTAGAGGGTGGCAGTGATGGTGGTAGAGATAACCTCTCCTCCCTCTCCCCTTCTTCCATACACCAACAAGAGTCTTCAATGATTTAAATGTTCATTTATCCATTTCATTAGTGCTTTATATTTATTTCTCATTGTTTTCTGTATGTAAAACTGTAGTTATTCTTTAAAAAATGTATTTTTTGTTAATATTTTTGGGCGTCTGGAACGGATTAATTGTATTTACATTATTTATAATGGGAAATTTTACTTCGGTTTCATCCGTTTCGGATTTAAACCGACCTTCTGGAATGGATTTAGTACGAAATCTGGGGTTCTACTGTACAGTACATTCACTAATTACCTTAAAATATTTGTAGTCATAATGTAGGGTGAGAGGTGAGTCTTATCTGTAGGAAGTCAGGTTTGGGAAATATGGTAGCCAGCCAGGGCGACCCCACCCCACCCCACCCAACACAGCCATGTGGCAGCGTGCCTCGTTGTACTCCGTGTTTTCTCATGTTTTCACGGTCACTCTTATGTGCTAGAACTTTAATTTGTGCCATCAATCTTATACGATACATCCCTCTAGCGCTTGGAACCAATCTTGGGCAGAAAATAGTATATACCGAGTAAAAAAAAGGAGGATTAGTGTGCACTACCTAGCAGAGTTTACTGCGAGAGGGGAATTATAGGCCTAGTGTGCCATGTGCAAAATAATAATAATAGAACTTTTCTTTGTCAGAGGAAAGAAAGTCTCCCTGATAATATTGTGTATACATAGTGTTATAGTGTATACTACAGTGGCACTCTAGTATATTGATAATAAATGCTAAAGTGTCATTTAAAACAGGTGTAATTCAAACTGAAGTGATAGGCCTAAAGAGGCAGGTGCCAGAAGTCACCAGATACTTACCACACAGGTCAGCTGTTTTAATAATCTTCCTGGCCTGCTAGTGTACTTTGCATATAATCTAGTGATACCAGTGAATGGGAGAATACAGTGTTGTAGTAGCAACTAACCAGTAATATAATGGTACTTAGTAGAGTGGAGTGACTTTCATTAGTTTTTTCTTCATTCTTGAAATACCAGACATATACAGTGAAATTCATATAACCTGTAGTTACCAGCAGTCGCAATATACACAATCAGAAGCAAATATTACTACAAAAAAGTGTCTTTCCTCCAATAATTCCACCAGTCAACTATAGTGATAATATAGCATTTGTTGTGGTGGAGATGGAAAAAATCTAGAAAAGCTGGATGCAGTGATCGATAAACAAGGGTTGAAGTCTCGACCGTTCGTCATTGTAGGAGCTGCTAGCATTCACCGGTTCTTCAACACGCAAGTTATACTTTTGTATCAATCAAATCACATATTACTCGGTTAGATAACTTCCAGTAGTTCCTTCATGTGATAGCCACATCACCTTCCAGATATGTTTTAAATAAGTGAGTGTGAGGGAGATGCATGAGGCATTACAGAGAATGAAAGGGGGTAAAGCAGCTGGAACTGATGGGATCATGACAGAAATGTTAAAAGCAGGGGGGGGGATATAGTGTTGGAGTGGTTGGTACTTTTGTTTAATAAATGTATGAAAGAGGGGAAGGTACCTAGGGATTGGCAGAGAGCATGTATAGTTCCTTTATGTAAAGGGAAGGGGGACAAAAGAGATTGTAAAAACTATAGGGGAATAAGTTTACTGAGTATACCAGGAAAAGTGTACGGTAGGGTTATTATTGAAAGAATTAAAGGTGAGACAGAGAGTAGGATTGCAGATGAGCAAGGAGACTTTAGAGTGGGTAGGGGATGTGTAGATCAAGTGTTTTCATTGAAGCATATATGTGAACAATATTTAGATAAAGGTAGGGAAGTTTTCATTGCATTTATGGATTTAGAAAATGCATATGATAGAGTGGATAGGGGAGCAATGTGGCAGATGTTGCAAGTATATGGAATAGGGAGTAAGTTACTAAATGCTGTAAAGAGTTTTTATTTATTTATTTATTAATTAATTTGAACATGATACAGAGAAGTACAAAGGAATACAGTAATTAAAATGCAACATGCCAAAGCCCCTTGTATGCAGAGCATTATGGGCAGGCTTAAAGTTAACTTAAGATTAACTAAGCAATTATATATTCAGTGGTAATAACATTATTGTAAACAGATAACAATTTAGCACAAATGAGTATTACAAAGACAGGTCATATGGTCATTTACTGTGTTGCTGTGCATTCAATAGAATGGAGTATTCTGTTAGGTAATGTAATTAAAAAATAACAAAGTTTGATTGGGTCACAGGTTAGACATTTATGAGATAAAATAATGAGAAACATTTATGAGATACAATTTATGAGATACAAATTTTTAGTATGAGGATAGTGAGGCTCATGTTAGGGTGTGTGGGAGAGAGGGAGATAACTTCCCGGTTAAAGTAGGTCTTAGAGAGGGATGTGTA